TTTGGTGGGGATACCCCATCCGCAAGCTCTACACAGACACGATTCTGCGGTTCAACAACATCTCCTTCGTGCGCTTCATGTACGTTCATCGGCGGAGCGTGTGGGGCTCTTGGCAGCGCGGTCCGTTGGGGGCCTGCAGTTGTTCTCGGCGGTGGAGGGATCATTGGCATCGGTGGCGGCAGAAGTTATGCGATTGCTGTCCTCTCTGTCCCCGGCTGGACAATTAGCTAGGGACGCTTTAAAAGAGGCGATGTCCATGGCGCCGGAGGCGGCAGAGCAATGCGACTACATGATTGTACGTGCACTGCGACATCTAGCTGGCTACGGTATCTTTGTCAACTCGAGTATGGATCGCACTGTTTGCAGAATTCTTGACCATCTAGCAGATTTGCAGGGGCACCGACCTCCTGGCCTCATCGGACCTTTCGAACAACGCAAGCATACCAACATGTTGCCCTATTGCAGAGTGGGTCGCCTTGCTAACGCTGTCCGTTCCTGTCTGCTCCATTTCCGCAACAATGGGATTGCGGACACTGAATGGGGAGACCCTGCACATTGGTTTCACCTGCCGGCGAATTGTCCGGCCTCACCGCAGCAATGTGCTGCTGCTACTACTGCGAGCCTGGCACGTTCCTGTGCCGACTGGGCCCTTGAGTGTGAGCTCTTCGGGGTGCATCATTTGCCGATTGCTGAAGACTGGTCTGCGGCAGCCTGGGAGCATCCACAAGACCCCAGTAATGACCTGCGAAGCCAACACCTGGATAGCAAACAGCAGATTCTACCCAACGTCGATATTGGCCTTTTTGCGGACGGCGGGGCCAACGGAGAAGCCACCGTGGCTGCATGCCAGGCGAGAGCCTTCGCGGGTCCTCATTACTGGAACACGGCATCGGCAGCAGGCCCACAACTGGCAGTGCGACTCCCTGCTAGGTACGGTTGGGAGCACACCACGGTCCACACTGCTGAGCTATTGGCCATGCTTGCTGCTCTCCGTTGGCGTCGTCCTGGTGCTTGGAACCTCCTAGTACTGGATAGAGCCTCACTGTTCCCCTTATTGCAGCAAAATGCCCACAAACAGAACAGAATCCTTTCCTCCCCATGCCTTCATTTGGTATCCCGGGTACACACGGTCACCGGGGAACTTTCAAGTGCCTGGCGGGATCATGCCCCTACGCCGCTCTGGAGAGCGCATCAGCTCACTGCTCCCGAGACCTGGCACGTTCAGGGCAATGTACAAGGCCGTTCGGCGTCGCTTTGCAGTATCCCTTTTCTCGATTTTGGCCTCGTTGGTGTTCATGTTCGCAGTCATCAAGCCAATACCACTGCCCCGGCGCCCGTTATCGTGGAGGGCAATGAGAGACAAGACGAAGGTTGTCGTCACGCCTACCGTCTGCCGCAGCCGCCGGATGTTTGGTGGCCCTCCAGTGGCTTAGCATTCCAACTCTCATACAAGGGGCGAGCGGTCACGGACACTTGCCGCAACTTCACTCGCAAACTCCTCCGCCAAGAGGCAAAGGACAAATGGAAACTTCGCCCTGTACAGGGTAAGATTGCTTCAGTTTCCGGTGCCTTTCTGCCAGGAATGGACTTGCGGTTGTATGTTTCCTTTACAGTGCCCAACCACTGGGCACGTTGGCTCCTACCCAGCGATCGCCGCACTGTGGATCTTTCTGCTTTCGCCTACAGATGCTTGCGCGCCAGCGGTGGCTGGACAGAAAGACTGCACTCCGATACGAGGTTGCAGAAGCTAGCTCTTCGCTGGGCCGACTTTGCCAACACCTCTGCCAGAACGTGCCCGCTATGCCTACAGCTCGCTGGAACACCTCGCCACGTGGTTATGTCATGCCCTGCCATGCGCCCTATGGTCCACCACTTCCTGGACGATGTCGAAGCTGAGCTTGTTCGCTTCGGTAGTGTTGCACAGCACTCCCTTGAAGCCGCTAGACGCCTGCCTGCCTCCCCCAAGTCCCCCACCCCGGAAGACGCCACGCGCTGGCCCATCCTCACTGCTTGGAGGTGGCTAGTGCCCATGCGAACCGAAATCGCGGATTTTGCCGCGGATGCAGCCGGGAGTAGTGCAGTACCCACTCGGATGGAATCTGGTACTGATCTGGCCTATCGTGGAGTCCTTCCAGCTGCATTGGGACGCTTCATCACACGTACAGCCACTGCAGCTTCCAATGACGAGCCTGACGATCCGGACCCCCTGGCTGATGAGTCCTTTAGTTCCTCCCGAGACATGCATGGCGCTTCGGAGGATGTAGCGCGCAGCCTCAGCAAGCTTACATCCGTCGCTGGGGCGGGGGTTAGCGTCCTTCGCTTGCTATTTCTCGGTCTTCGTAGCATACGTGCTGAATACCTCAAGCGCATCGCTGCCTGGGCGGATGCTACAGAGGCGGCATTGGATGCCAATATCCAGCCTGCTCCTCCTCTCCCCCTTCCGGCGGCCCCGGCCCCTGATGCATTCCTGGACTGGTTTGCCTCATCTGCAGGATTGGGGGTACTCAGAGAGCTGCGCTGGCTTGCCCCTCCAGTGGAAGTCGCCCTTGCCAGACTTCGTGGAGCCTGTCGTATACCAGGGTATCGGCCTTCTGATGCTAGGCTTCGCAACATGTTGCTTGCTGCTGGTGGTCCCTCCACTCAGCGGGACAAGCTTTCCTGGATGGTCGATGGTCTGCCTTGGGAATTGGCACGGGTGCAGCTTTCACAGGTTTGTCAATGCCCGCGCTTACTGCCTGCCCCTCTCATCTCGTGCTGCATCACCTGTCGTGGAGCCCAGATGCAACCTGCAGTTGCAGCTCGCATGTGCCCGTGGTGTCGCCAGGACTCGGCAGTACATTGCCAAGCGTGTGGCTGTGCATTACATTTCCGTGGGGCATGTGCTTGGAACAGGGGAGCCAACCGGCTTTTTCTCCCCACAGCGGAGGCCCCGGTGATACTGTGCCCAGACTGTCACTGGGCCTGGATGCGGGCGCGGGCGGCACTTCCTTGGCGACAAGCAGGGCCAGAGACGCCCTCTGCCTTAACCGCATTGGTGGTTGACCTCCGCGGTCGCTGCTCCCCAGGAGCTGGTTTGCACAGCAGCAAGGTGGCATCCACTTTTCGGCAACGCCTCCGGCGTCACCTTCGCAGGTGGCTCTCGCCAGAATGGAAATCCCTGGAAGAAGCGTTGCGCAGCTTCCGCGTCCTCTGTCAGCCCGTTGTGCTTGACGACGCGAGCCTGCGTGCGGAACTGACGGTGGCGGCGGATGCCTTGGTTCGCTCCGGCAGTGCGCTCAAACAGCAGGGAGCGGACAGACAGCTTCTCTTGCGCGGGGCATGACAAAACACAGTCGTCTTAGTATTGCTTCCGACTAGCCTGTCTTTAGACGACAAGCATATGCATCCAGCTGGAACCGGTCACTGCAGCTGGGCTTCAGGGTAGTTCTTTCCCTTCTCTTCTGACGGTTTGATCCTTAAGCCGGAGGTGATGCCGTTTGCGTTAGGCCAGATCTTCGGATCTAGGTCGTCCTTCCACTCCACTCCACTCGGTCGTCCAGCACTAAGTCAACGTTTCATCTGAGGATCACAGAGCCAAGTCAAGATGCATTGTTTGGCACCTTGAGCCAGGCTAGCCGAGGCCATCGGGGGATCTCGTCAAAATGACAAGATCCCCCAATGGCCTCGGCTGAGCGACGGTCTGACACAGTCCAGGAGGAGTGCTGGGTTTGATGCTTTGATTCACAAAGGTTCCAGTGCAGTTCACGCTTGTCCTTTTTAGAACTAATAGACAGAGCCCTATAAGTTTACCTATATCCCTTAGTAGGAATTAATTATTCAAGAAGGTCTACTAGCCGGTCTGTTCTGTTTATTCTTTCTGGGGGAAACCATGAACAAGGATAAGGCTGGTGCAGTTCAGGTGCAGTTGAGGTGCAGTTCAGGTGCAGTTCAGCGTTCGCGCTATTATAGATTGGTGCAGTTCAGGTGCAGTTCAGGTGCAGTTCAGGTGTGGTGATGCTGCACAACCATATGTGAGGTATACAAATCATAAAATAGTAAAAGGTATGCTGTATTACACAAAAAAGACACGAATGAACTTACCAGGATCTCTGGTCTGGTCAGAGTAAGACTACTTGGCCGGTCCCTGCCCATAGCATCAAACAGTTTTGGCTTAAATACATCGGCTCTAGTGATAGTGACAGTCGCTATCTTGCAACATATATATATATATATATATATATATATATTTAAGCCAAGGTGCTCCGATTGATCCATAAAGCTTCTCTGCCACATCTTGGCGACACCTGGTCAGGAAGTGTTGCCGGTCGAGCTCCTCGGGTGCTCTGGGAGGCATAGACCTGGATTGAAATTTTCAGTCCAGGTCTATCACCTCCCAGACCACCCAATCTAAATCTTCATGGCTCAGGGTACAGGCCTCAGTGTCGGTCAGCTTTCAATAATGCTGGACACGGCTGTAATGATTGACTTAGCAACACCTGGTCAGGAAGTGTTGCCGGTCGAGGAGAGCTATCGACAGGTGTCCTCAACCCTTCGTCGGCACCGCTCAGCCAGTCGAACTACGACTGGCTGAGTGGCGCCGACGAAGGGTTGAGGAGCTCCTTGGATGCTCTGGGAGGTCGGGCTCCTGTAGCAGTACCAGGTCCATGCCAATTTGAGATCCCAGTCACCTTAAGTATTGAGGTCCAGACAGAAGCAGATCTACTTTCTTTGCCGGTGGTGTTCTCAGACACATGCGTGGGCAGTGTACTTTCGAAAGTGTTATGTGTGTGTTCGCTCAAGGTCTATCACCTCCCAGACCGCCCAATGTAAATCTTCATGGCTCAGGGTACAGGCCTCAGTGTCGATCAGCATTCAATAATGCTGGACACTGCTGTAATGATTGACTTAGCAACACCTGGTCAGGAAGTGTTGCCGGTCGAGGAGAGCTATCGACAGGTGTCCTCAACCCTTCGTCGGCACCGCTCAGCCAGTCGTAGTTGCCGGCCCCACTCCCCGTCGCTATGGCCAAGACAGGTTATGTCGGACTGTCGGTCGACCAGTGGGAGCACTGGCTCTGGAACCCAGTTCCCGACGTCCAGGCCTATTTCTCCCCGTCGGTCGCTGTCTATAAGGCTATCGCCGGTGTCGGTCGCAGGTGCCTTGCTGCTGTGTTTCAGTTCATTTATCATGACCAGCGAGGATGCAGTAGTGTAGGTCGTCCTTAGTTCTGAACTGCCCGGTCGGTCAGGATGCAATACCAGCTTTCCGACACGGATCCCATTCCGGGGCCGATGTACCAACGGTCGAAGCACAAGGAGCAGGCCCATCGTGTTTCGGCTGGGGGCACAATCATGTGTGTTACTGATAACGCCGGTCGGGAAGATGAGGTCAAACTTCTGTTGACCCGGTTCGTGGTCGTGCTGGAAGTGCAGGTCGATGAGTTCCAACTGGCTATGGAACAAGGGTCGGTCAGACCATGCACCAACGACGGCTTCGTCGTGAGGAACCTCGACTTGTCGGTCGAGAAGCACCTCAAAGTCACACGCATGGACGCCCGCCTCGAGGTGGAGGCGTTGCCAAGTGACGTGCCGGTCGACAAGCCTGCTTTCGTGTTCTACAAGATCTCCGATGATGTGACGGAGCTGTCGGTCGTGAAGAAGCTAGCTACAGCATGAACAAGCCCCGAGGGCAAAAGCGGCCTTCCTCCACAGTCGGTCGGGGTGGCACTGGATATATGTATTTCAGTAACCCGACGAAGGCTGCGCTGATGTGTTGGCTGGCAGGTGGCGGCACGGCGGTCGATGTGCGGCTGAGCTACTATGGAGTGGGCATGCTTCCAGTTGGACTCCTTCACTATGATGAAAGCATGTCGCCGGTCTGTGTGCTTTGGTGGCATTCGATTCAGTGATGTTGCAGTTGCATGATTTCTAATCCTGCAGTTGCAATCTACAGCATAAGCTGTCTGCTCAGGACTACTACTACGCGCCGACGCTTCCCCAGATGGGCGTTGAGTCGGTCGCCGCGGACTACAAGGTCATGGTTCAGTTCAGCAACAAGGTGCCGGTCGGTGACTTCGTGAAGTTAAAGAACCTCGAGACGCTGAAGGAATACATGTACCAGAACGATAAAGAGTTGGAGGAGCTGAACAGTCGGTCGTCAACTCTGATCGCGATACAGAAGAAGCTGGTCGCAGAAATGGATGAGATGCTCGCCAAAGAGTCGGTCGTGGATCTGGCGGGCAAGACAACGGTGTCGGTCGAGGATCTGGCGGGCAAGACAAAGCAGCCACTCGTCATGGAGTCGGTCGAGGAAGATGTTGCAGGCAAGACAAAGCAGCCGCTCGTCATGGACCCGGTCGCTGAGTCTAGCTGATGTCCACCACGCCGGTCGAGTCAAAGGCCTTTTTCCTCACTCTAGCAGGCAGGTCGAAGCTGGCAGATGGCAAGCACTGTATCACAGCGTTGAAGATACTTGACGACGTGTAGTTTGTCGGTCCAATTCCACGTTCTGGTGTGCACTGGTTTGTCAGCTGGTCAGAAAAGAGTCGGTCGAAGTCCACGCTTTTCATTTCCCTTAATTTTAAATTACTTTCTGACCGAGGAAAGCTGCTGAGACGGTCGCTCAGTCCGATGATGCAACGCAGCTCGAGTGGTACACAGGTGAGATCAAGGACATTCTGATGGTCGGAATGCGTTTTGATTGCATCAAATTCTTGGATGAGGATGAGGCCAGGGATGTGCAGTATGACTAGACATTCATGACGGTCACTAGTTACTCCTGTGTCAGGCGGCGGTCAAGCTCTTCTACACCATGGCCCATGAGCAGGAGGCCAACAAGTTGCGGACGACGTCGGTCGAGCACAAGATCAAACTTGTGCGTGCTTATGTCGCCAAAGTTCCTGGCGGTCTGATAAAGGACAGTCGGTCGACCACCTGTTTTGTTGCTGGCCCTGAGTCTCATCTGTCAGGACGCCGAGAACGCCATGGTGGAAATTTTGGGCAAGTCACGCCGGTCAACAATCCACAACTGGTGCAAAGCGACTGCAGTGTTAAAAGAGCCGGTCCTGATCAAGCTGAAGGAGAAGCCCGACCTGCCATAGGGACTTGTTTTCACGAACAAGTACTTCGTCGGTCAAGGAGAAGAGACACGTAACTCGGCGGCATGCCATGCTGTTAGGTTTTCCTGCATTGTTGGTCGCGGAATGCAGTTGGCTCAGGCTTCCTCCTGGAACCCGAGCAGCAGATTGCTGCTCTGCAGCTTTTCTATGACTTCTGTGACGGTCGCGGGACGGTCTCTTCCATACCGACCTTCATGTCTGACTTTTGTGCCCCAATGTTGAAGGCACAGTTGTGGTGTCAGTTGGTCATGAAGAAGTACTCGTCGGTCGTGAGCCGCCTACCAGCGTATGACCGCTGTCAGAAGATGCTGTGGAGTGAGCGTGGACGGTCGCGCATTTTGAGGCTTGCTAGCACTATGAACTATAACTGACATTCAGTGCCATGTCTCATTATTATGGTGATGGGGTTGCCAAGGACGTGCATGCGTCTTGGCGTCGGTCTGTCTGGTGACCCGAAGATCGAGGGCAGTGGCATCCCTGAGTGTGTGTCGGTCCTCCAAGGGTTGAAGAATCTGGCCGCTGGTCGTGCAGTGGATGAAGCCGAAAGTGCTGTGGATGCGGCCAAAGCAACGGTCACAGAGCACAAGCTGGTCGTTGAGGGGGGAGACGACGAGTCTGGGATCTTGGCTGACGACATCATGATGGAGGCCCCACTGGTGGAGAAGGATCCTGTTCTTGAAAAAGCTGAGGAGCTCGGCTTGTCGGTCCGCTCCAACATTCATCTGTTTCATGACATGAAGACCTTTGGTGATGGCTTCGTCGGTCTATGCCGGGCGACGACCCGTGGCGGCATTTACATCGATGAGGCCACGTCGAAGGCCAAGATCATTTTGGGGGACATGGCAGAGTTGTGGAAGGTCGTCACGTCGGTCGTAGATCGGCAATACGTGTCCATGGGCATCTTCTGTGGAAAGCGCCACGACTTAGTGACGTTGGTCGTGAACCTTGGATGGCACAGATATCTTTCTAGACTTGTCGGTCGACTGCTGTGCTCAGCGTTGCTTCGGCTCAAGTCCAAAACGGCCGGTCGACCTTCATGGGTCGAATCAGTAACAAAAGCCTCGGGCTGAAGAGGGTGGCAGGGCCCTGTGCCCGTTACTGTGCGACGGTTGCCAGGACAGGGACGGTCGACCCTCCAGTGAAGCGCCTTCGAGTCAAAACCTTCTTGAAAAACTTAGATCAGAGCCGGTCGCGATGGAAGCAGATGTCAAAAAAGGAGAAACAACCCTTTGTGGACGCGGCGGTCAAGGATCACAGAAAGCACAACGCCCTCAAGAGGGAGCTCGCTCATCCTCCAGTGGAAGTCGACTCGCCGGTCAGAGACCCGAAGCCTGAGAATGATAGTGACCAGCAGCCACCGGTCGATGAGAACCTCGTCAATGAATTGAGGTTCTCCTTTGAAGGCATGGCACTTTCCAGTCGGTCGACCCTGGGACAAGGCGCCCATGGCACAGTTTGCCGCTGTGAAAACTTGATGGGAACGGAGTTCGCAGTGAAGCATCTTGGCTATTCATTTTATTATTAAGGTTCATGTGATTGAACAATCATGAATGAATGAACGAATGATGTCTTTGTCGACTTTGGGTTTAGTGCTGCATCTTGTCATGTCGAGGTTGCCGGTCGGCAGCAGGGACGTGAAGAGGGAGCTAGACGTTCTCCTCAGTCTACGCCACCCAACCATCCTGCATTGTTATGGGCCAGTCATGTCGGTCGACGGAGGTCTCGTGGGCCTTCTTTTGGAGTATGTGCCGGTGACATTGGACGCTTGGCTGAAGACGCAGCCCAAGGCCGCAAAGTGCCCACACAAATGGCATCTGATGGTCGATCTTGCACATGGACTCCAGTATCTGCACTGTCACAAGCTTGTGCACTGTGATGTGAAGCCACAGAACATACTTGTCGGTCCTGCCCCCCATGTTCGAGCCCGCTGGGCAGACTTCGGCCTCACTGAGCCGGTCGGGACAGCTGTCTATGGTGACGAGGTGTACTCTGCAGCGTACAGACCTCCGGAGCTTAGCGGGTCACAGGAACCCGGTCGTAGCTTTGCTGTAAGGGTGAGGTTGGCACCCACAGCTGATCTTTGGGCGGTCGGGTGTCTCTTGTTTGCGATCTTCACAACATCGACACTGTGTCATTTGTTTGTCACAGTGAAGGTGCTGTATGACATGTCCTTCATCAATTCCCGAATTGATAAGAACGTGCCGGTCGTCTCTGGCGCTCAAGAAGACATAAGAGCTTTCTTGAAAAAGCTGCCGAACGAGCGACAGCAGCTGAGGCTTTTCATTATTGCTGCAGAGGAGAAGTACAGACACCACGCTGGTCGTTGAACCGCCAGTCGTCGGGTGTCAAATTTCTGTGTGAAGGGGCATGCAGGAAGCCAAAAAAAGATTTAAAGCATCTGCAATGGCAATCGTGGTCAGTGCAAGTTTTGGGGTGCGACAATCCAATTGGTCGGTCGATGCAACACTACAGCTAAGGAACCAGCTGCAGACGATGATCCCAAACCGTGAGGCGTACGTCATCACCTTCACTGCCGGTCCAGAACAGTCCCGGAATCGTCGACCGACTTACATGGTCTATTCACAGTCGGAGTTGTCGGTCTCTGCGAAGGAGGTGGTGCCGAGCCATGTGAGTGTCAACAAATGCCGGTCATTTGCCTATGAGAAGTTACAGATGCGCTGCACCGACTACAATTGTGCCTTTGAATTAAATTAAAAGAATCCTTGAAACTAGACTAATGGCCCCACTGCCCACACCAACCCACACTCCCACTGAGGCAAGCTCAGGCCGTGCAAACCCATGACAGACATGCCGGCCCACCCCACAGAGGACCTTTGTGGGGGGCAGGGCGGCAGGTGCAGGTCAGGTGCAGTTCAGGTGCAGTTCAGGTGCAGTTCAGGTGATGAGGTTTTCTATATTGGTGCCATTCAGGTGCAGTTCAGGTGCAGTCCAGGTGCAGTTCAGGGTTTGATGTGGACGTCATCAATCACTTTACTGAATCTGGGAGGAGTTGCCGGTCAGTGACCACGAGCAGCCAGAGGATAGCAAGACGTTGGACCCCACAGAGGAAGCCGGTCCTGACACACAGGCGGTCGAAGCGTCCGTCGACAAGAAGTATCCTGTGGATTTGTGGTTGGTGGCCAAATGCTGGGATCACCATGCGTCGGTCGTGCGAGAAGTCTTCCGTGGTGATCAGTGCAGGTGGATGGCGGTCTCCACACGCACAGCCCATCCTTCCATCTTCGTTGGGGTCCAGTCGGTCGTCTCCACAGTCATAGGTATGGTTCGTGGTCCGGTCGAGCATCTTGCCGACAAAGCATGAAACGCGTGTCAACCAAAAGCTTTTCGCAGGAATGCATGTTAAGCTCAGGCACTCCATGGCACATGGCCGAGTCTTGCTCGACGACATGTGCACCGCCCTGAAACTGGATGAAGCTAGCCGGTCATTGAACTTGAAGCGCAAGGTGACAGACATCCCGTGTGTGCCGGTCTTTAACCCCTATGCAGCAGAGGGCTCAGTGTTCAAGCTGTTGGAGATTCCGGTCGAGAGCACCTGGCGAAATGGTGTTTTGGCTTGAGTTCTGACCTTCATGTCATGCATTGATCGATTATGATAGGACGTGTGCAATTCCGAACTGAGGTATCAACAAGTCGGTTGCCAACTACAATGACATGGAGAAGAAATGCAACGATCTCATACATGAGGAGCTGGTCAAGTATGACCTGGGATTGTCGGTCATCGACGGTCATGTTGCACTCATCACGACTGTCCCTAAAAAGGAGGGGGACTTGATATGCACATGCAGTGCTTTGCATTTCGACAACATGGCAAGCCTCTTGTCGGTCGTGAACTCCGACAAAGTGAACCTCGCCAAGAATCCTGTGCTCAGGACGGACTGCGTCGGTTTGACAGAGGATCGCTCCCAGTTTCTCAGTCAGTCACTCAGCCAGGGCATCCCAGCGTTTGTCAGACAGGCAACCGAAAGTGCTTGATGCAACTGTGCCTGGACGTCATCTCATTCTCCAGAACTGACAGACATGAGGAATCAGTAAAGCAGTTTGGCCAGCACACCTCACCCAAAACGCAACCCATGAACCTTGGGGTAGAGTTGATCGCCATCCATAAGAGCCATGTCTGACGGAGCCATGTCTGACGAGGAGTTTGTGCCTTCTTTAAGGTGTTTCTGAGTCGGTCGCTTGCACACAAAACTTTGATTCCTCGTCAGCCGATGCTGCATCCGAACCCAGTGTTTCTGACAGCGAAGCCGAAATGCCGGTCGAAGATGAAGTCGACGGTCGCCTTTGGCGACCAGGGGAGAACTGTGGTACGTTCGTGGACAGACATGCTGCCTTGCAAGGCCAAGGCCAAGTTTTGTCGGTCAATGTCATGACCAACCTTCAGCGCTGCCCGAAAGACGTCTTGTCGGCCGTGATGAAATACATGCCGGTCAGGCTGGGTCTTCCAAATCCAATATTTTATAGATTTATCAATTATCATCTGCAAAATTATTTCAGTTAACTAATTTAAGTAATTGATTCAATACAATAACTGCTGCCTGAAAGGAAGTTTGCTGGCAAATCACTGGTCGAAAGGGTAGCAGCAGCTCTATTGGGTTTGGGAACCACCAGCGTAGAACGATCCATGCAGAGCCGGTCGAAGCTTGAAGAGTTTGAACGCGAGAAGCTCAAAGAGAAAGAGAAGGAGGGTATACAAAGGAAACAGAAGGCCGTGTCGGTCGACAAGGAGCTGTCACTGGACACAGTAGTCGACATTTGCCTTTCCAACGCATCCGAAGGCCGGTCCTTCCTCTCTTTTGAAAGAGATGCCGAGAGGAACCGCCGGCGTGGAGTGCAATTGGGCCATTGGCCTTGCAGCCGGTCGTTCTGCCGCGAGGTGGAGTTCTATGCCGCCAGGGCATTGCAGAATTTGGATGCGATGGATTTTCAACGGCTGGTCGTTGGCCTAGGCATTCCCAGCGACTTCTGTGCTTTGCCGCCAGATTAGACAGTCGATGCTGCAACTGTGTGTGTGAATCAGTGATGTGGCTCATCTCACTAAGCAAGGTGTCATGTTGGACTCCATCTCCATTGGCAAAGAACAAATGCTGAAGCGGGACAATGTGTTGCTGGTCGGACTGTCGGTCGTGAGCCAAAGCACAGGCTTCTTCTTCATGTCCAAAGCATCATGGCACTAGCCGGTCACCTTTGTGTCTTCTATCTATTTTTTTCACAGAATAAATTAACAACTAATAATTTGCCACAGGTCGTGCTTACACACCGATGGTTGGCGGGAAGACTTTGGGTGTCGGTGATCATGCAGGCCCACAATTGAAGAAGGTCGCGTTGGAGATTCTGGAGGAGCACCCTGCCCATTTTAGCAGCCGGTCACTGGCGGCATCTTTAGCCATGGTTGTCGGCGATGGCGCCAATGCCATGGGTGGTCGGTTGGCTCGGCACAAGAGCACAGCTTCGGCGGAACTGATATGGTCTGAAGTTTTCAATTCTGTTTGGGATGGAGACCCTGTGCCGGTCATGACGGACTGGGGCCTGATGCACCGTGAACGCCGTGAAGCATATCTACAAAGCAATAGTTGTGATAATCAAACGATATGTTCAATTGTAATATGTACACACTGTTGGTCGAACTACGAAGGAACAAACCGCTCGATGCAGCTACAGAAGTTATGGACATCGTATCTGTTTTGGACAAGACCTTCTTCATGGGCGACGGTCGGGCCTTGCTGCGAGGAGTTTCGAAACAAATTGGTGAGCCGGTCGGCACCCTGGGAGCACCTGGCGGAACACGGATGTTTGTATTTTTCCGTTTGTCGCTTTTGAAGAATTTCAGGCCGGTCGTCACCGCTATGCATGCAAGACTGGCTTGGAAGCAGCAAAAGCATGGAGCCCGAAGTCTGAGAAATTTGATGGACGTCGGTCGCCGTTTGACAGACGTGAGCTTTGTGGTGTTCCTATCTTTCTTGGAAAACTTCATGCCGGTCGCCTTCGAAGCTTTTTCTCAGGTGGCCCAAAAGGCGGTCGAACCTTAAACTGCAAGCAAGTGCAGAGAGATCGCTGCAGTACGCCAGACGAGCAAGCACCTCCATCGACAGACTGAAGACCTACGTGACGGTCGCCACCTTGTTGCGCCAGCACTGTTCCAGCAAGCAGATCATGCAGTTTCTTGCAGCCCTTTGCTACACACCAGCTGGTCGCTTTTTGCCAAAATTTCTTCCTGGAATCCTGAAGATAATGCATGTACTGCCGCCAGAGTTCTCGTCGGTTACATTGCACACCAGCAGAGAGCCGTCGGTCGAATACTATTGCTTGGGCCCACATTGCCAATGTCTGGGCAGGGAGAAATATTCTGAGACGAGGCCGAGGCCAGTTGTGAACTGGGATGGACCACGTGGAACCCGTGAGGCGTGACATGCTGATGTTTCTGGTCGGGCGGTCGGAGTTTTGGTGTTACTTCATTCATTCTCTTCGTCTGTCTCAGAGAGATGAAGCCCCTGCCGCCCAACCTTAAATCATTAAACATGAAACACATCCTTCAAGGTGCGTGTGCCGGTGTGGGCTGACGGTCGAGCTTCGTTGCAAGATGACTTCTACGAGCCACGTGTTCAGTTTCGTAGTCGGACACGGCAGCTTGGAAGACAAGAAGCTCGTCGATTTCGTCAACATTTGTGGGAGGATCGGACCGATGGTTGCGAACACGCAGAATCCACTTGGGCACAGGCCGGTCGTTGTGTATGCAAATGGCGGTCGCGGTGTGTCATCCCAGAGAAGGTTTATATCGTGCACCATGATGTGATTCAAGCACTGGACAGTGCAAAGACGCTCGCCGGTCGTGCCACAGAGGAGATGTCGCAAATTCTCGGGCCGGTCGGTGTCAATGATGATGTCTTGCAGATCCGGTCCAATGCAATGATTGCGTTTGACTGGGAAGGGTTGATCGGCGGTCAAGCCCAACCTCGGCACGGAGATGCTTTCCTGAAACTGTATCAGGCACTCAGGCCGGTCCTAAGGCACACACTTTGGCCCACGGGCCCTGAGTTTCAAGGTGTCGAACATCGATGGGATTTGCCGGTCGAAGACATGAAGGCACAATATAGACTGTTCCTTTCTCGTGTTCTTGCAGCAGCATTTGGGAAGGACTGTCGGGTGCCGCCGGTCATCAGAGCAGAGGCTAAATCATGGTTTTCCGTTACTGCTTGCACTGTGCGGCCGGTCATGGTCTTCTCCGCTGTGGCGGCCATCGTGCAGCAGAAAATGCCCTATGCTTCAAGAGCTGGACAGCTGTATTGTGCGTCTGTCGTTTCACTTTGTTTGGGATCGTACCAACAGCAGCAGCTGCCTGTGTCTGCGTATGAGACTTTCCAGGTTGCCAGCGACGGTCGCTTGCAATATTCATTCAGTTGTAATTATTTATTAGTAAAGACATGATCAATTAATACAGGTTGGAGTGGAGTGTTCTGCATGATTGTTGGAAATGGAATGCAACAGCATTTGGTTTGTGTTTCCCTTATCATAGTTCTGAGGACTCGCGCAGGTCGGAAGTCTCACTGTAAACAGACGGAAACGCAGAAAGACAGGGGCGGTCATAGTTCCCACAAAGGGACTCGTGGCGGTGCTGCCACCGGTCTGCATTTCAGATTCAGCCTAGCCAAGATCCCAGACTTCCTTTGCTGACAATATATATATGCGTCCATATCTATTGTCGGTCTGAGGAAGTCTGGTATCTTGGCTAAGCGCTTGGTGGTTGTGACCGAAATGAAGGTCTCGGTTGATTCTGTGGCAATCGCTAGATCCTTGGAAGCACATCCTTGGTTTACAGTTGGTCGATGCAGAACAGACCCAAAGTGCTGGCATGTCGGTCGCTTCCATCATCGTACTCGGCTGCTGGCAGCACCTGAAGCTGCCATCGAGCGCCTGGGTTCCATAATGAATTACCAGTACGATGCCTGTGCTGGTCTTACCCCGGCACAGGCGGTCGATCGCCTGCTCTTGGATCTCTGGAAACACATAGTAAAGTATTTGTTTAGTTCTAGTGTTGATTCATCAATTATTCAATGTATTTTTGATTAGACAAAGAAAAAACACGAGCCTGAAATTGCCTGTCTGAGGCCCAAGGTGGGCTGCGCATGCTGGGCTCGGACCGCGATGAAATCCTCAAAGCTGCAGTCTGCCGGTCGATCATGTCGGTCCGCAAACGAGCCCGAGGAGGAGGACCCACTGAGCAGATCCGCCAGAAGAACAATGCTGTGCGTCTGTCTGGACGGTCGTTTGAAGAGCTTTCTGGGCACAGCCGTCAGGACATGGCAGAACTGCTGGATCCACTGCTCCCACAAGACATCGATGGTGGATTGTCGGTCGTCTTGAGGAACATTCAGCAGCAACATTCTTCGTCATTGCCGTGTGATCTTCCTGATGTTCTCCAGCAAGCTGTGCAGAAGGCGGTCGTTGGCGGGTCATCAGCCTGCACATAGTATTAGTCTATTTGACTCAATCATGTCATGTACTAATCAAATGTAAGGAATCAACTTAATTGTTAAAAAAATACAACTCTACAGTATTCAAGTTGGCTGGAAGGACCAGAGAGCCAAGGAAAGTGCAACTGCTGCCAACCTCAGTGCAGGTCCTGCACGCTCAGCAGAAGTCGGTCGCCTCCTCTGTTATGAGAGACTACTTGAAAGAGTGGCTGGAATCAGAGGATGGCAAGAAGTACCAAGCCAGTCGGGCTAAGCTTTGGAAGTGAGCTGGTCGCTGCTGAGAAAAATGCCGACGATGTTGTGAACACTGCATTTGTGTACCAAGATCTAGCTCGGTCACTTTTCGAGTGAGTCACGTCACCCAGGCCATGACTGGATCGCCGGTCACTGCTGCACAAAGGACTGGGCCGTGTGTTGCATATGAAGCACTAGCTCGGTTGGTGATCATGTCTTTTGCAAAGCACCAGGCCATCATGGTGCCCAAGCTGCAGAACCATTTTGCTGTCAGCAAAGTGGTTCTTCAGGTTGGGCACTAGGTGCTTCAGTGGTCTCGTCGGACCCGCAGCTGTTTGTTTGCTGCACTCCTCCTGATTTCTCTCACATGTTATCTTCAGTCAAGCAGGCCGGTCAATGCCATAAGATGAAGATCCGAAGCAACCCTGGCCCACGACTGTCCGGCACTGCCGGGCGATCGTGGATCCGAGTTGCTTTGCATCTCCAGCTGGTGGCATGTTGGAAGCTCAGACCTTCTTTAGTAACCTGACCGTCCTGTGATTAGCTCGTACAATGACAAAGAATCAGAGCTCATGTGGCCCAGGCCGTGGTTGCCGTGCTGGTCGCTGCCACTGAAAGAAAGACAACGAGGCGATGTGTAAGCCCTTTGTCGGTCGATCACAAGGCGATGCTGTCACGATGGCATGGCCTTCTGCTTGACTCTGTCTGAGTGACTTGCCAGCTGTGCTTCAGCTCTTATAGCATCATCGACTACACATCACTTAGAGAGTTTCTTGCAGCCGTGGTCGTGTCAGGGAGCAACAAGCCTTGGGACTGAACAAAGCCATTGCACGGTAGCATCAGCGTATCATCATACCTATAATATACATGAGAACTTCACTTGAGACTAGACTTTAGACATGGAGCAGATGGAGCTCCTTTCGGAGTCTGAGTCCATGTCGGTCGACCTCCAGATATGTTCAAACAGCGAAAGTTTGAAGAGCTGGTCGCCGGATGAGAGTGGGTCGGAGTCTCTTCAGGCGTCAGATATGCCAGATATTGACGTGGACCAGGCAAGTGCGACGCCGGTCGCAAATTTTGGCAGCGGCATGGCAGGTGCCAAGCAGTGGCCTGAGATCACGATGATTGCTTTAAGTCGTATTTTGTCGGTCAAGCAACTTCAAGGCATGGCTGTTGTGAAACCCATCGATGAAGAACCGTTTATTAATTATTCTTGCAATCGTCATGTCATAATGCTAATAAATTATCATTATCAGAGCAATTGTAATAATAATCGTTATCAGTTTCTGAGCACCCTGACCAGGTTCCATGCTGGCTGGCCCAATCCGTGTCAGTACACATTTCTCAGGTGTTGGATGTGCTGAGCAGGCGGTCGAGCGTGTGCACAAGGCCTTCCAAGAACTTCTTCTGAGTAAGGTCACCACGCGGGCGGTCGCCAAGAGATCGACGCTGCAGTTCGTGTCTGCGTGTGACGTATCACGGGCCTGCCAGAATCTTTTGATGGGTCGGTCGGAACATGTCTTTGGAGATATCAGGGATGCCTTTCCGACTCTGGAAATGCTAGGTCCTGACCGGCCGGTCGCAGAGCGGTGGGCACTGGCCAAGAGAGCAGCTGCCAACGTCCCAAGAACATGTCGGTGTCATGTTGCATGCCGGCCACCACCCGTGACGGTCGACATCAGCGGTAGCCCATGCCAGCCATGGTCGAAAGCTGGACAGAAGAGGCGCTGGACCGACGGTCGGTCTGACCTTCTCCTGCTATGGGCTGCCCTTATGTTGAAGCACGAGCCGCCGGTCATACTGCACGAAAACGTGTTTGGCTTTCCCACGTCGGTCCTGGAGGATCTCATGCAGGAAAAGTATGTCATTCATCACTTGCGGGTCGAGCCATACCATGTGGGCTTCACCTGTGTGAATCGACCACGGGTATATTCCGTGCTAGTACATCGGTCGAGAGCGTCGGTTGTTTCGTTACAAGCTTCTTCAATTCCGTCGGTGGTGGACTGTCCATCAGAGATTGTTACATAGGGTCGGTCGAGGAGACTCTAGAAGAGGAGAACTTCTGTCGCAGAGCAAAGGGTTTAGACATGGTGCAGACGCCAAGCCGGTCGTGGGAATGTCTGCTGACTGAGCAGCAGCAGAAATACTTGGCAAAGTACCGTGAAACTTGGCAGCAGTGCCGATCTGACAAAGAGCAGGAGCCGGTCTTTGATCTCAGCCAAAACCCTGCACGTTTCCTTAAGATGACTACAAAAGATGGTCGCTTGCCAACTTTCCGCACGAATACGAAAATTTGGGTGGATGGTTTGAGCCGATGGCTTCTGCCGGTCGAAATGGCAGCAGCAATGGCAATGAACTATGGGGTCCTGGGGCAGCCCAACCGACAGCAGGTCGGCAACGGAATGCATGTGGCCAACTGTGGAGTAGTGTTGGCGGTCGCCTTGGCCTGTACGCGTTGAAGAACAGTGCGGCTAAAAAATGTGCAGTGTGGTGCAATGCCCAATATCTGATTGGCACACTTGCTCCATGATTCATCCTGCGCCACGTCGGTCGTGCCTATTTTCAGTCAATCTTAATTAATGTCGTTTGCTCATTGCCAGGCAGACGTGGTGAGCCCTCCTCTGAGAGCAGGTCGACCAGGTGGATGACATGGTACGACCATGCCGTCCAAATGGTCCGTGGCTGCTGGTTGGAAGACCAGACACAGTGCCGGTCCTTCAGCTTCGCTGAATCTTCACTTTGCGTGCCTCCTGAGTGTACAAAGGAGTTCTGGAGCCGTGGGGCAGCTCGAATGCGAATCCCTCTGAGAGGTGTTCGCATTGGAGCTGCCCCACGGTTCCCAAGCAGCTCAACGAGAAGGCTCTGTAGCCTACAGAGCCTTCTCGTTGAACTGCTTGACCGAGCATGTTCGACATGCTGATGTCAAGGTCATGTCATTGAAAAAGTTGAGTTCATGTTATAGGCGTTGTTTTCACACAGCCGGTCCATCATGCGGCTGGACGATTGGGCCAATCGTCTCAACCACAAGCCGATGGACCGGCCGCCAGGTTCGGAGATGGCCTTGACAACGGTCGTAGACATTGAAGCACTGGGGTGACCACATCGCTTGCCGGTCGACTTCCGTCCCGGTGCATTCCTGAGCTCGCCGGTCGACTTCGGTCTCGGCGCTCAGCTTGCCGTGGCCTTATGGTGGAGCGCAAACGAAACAGTATTTTAAGTTCATGTTAGGCGTTGTTTTCACTCAGCCGGTCCATCATGTGGCCCTGACGGCGTCAGTGCAGCCCAGAAGAAAAAAGAGCTCGAGGCTCGAGCTCTTTTTTCTTCTGGGCTGCACTGACGCCAGGTCCCTGCTCAGCTTTGCCGTGGCCTTATGGTGGAGCACATTCAGTGGGAATCCCACTGAAGGTACTCCACCATACGGCCCCGAGCTAGGAACTCGATTGTGCAGAATCAGGCGGTCGACTGCTCAAACCGTGGAAGTCGATTGTGCGGAAAAAGGCGGTCGACTGCTCAAACCGTGGAAGTCGATTGTGCGGAAAAAGGCGGTCGACTGCTCAAACCGTGGAAGTCGATTGGGCGGAAAAAGGCGGTCGACTTCTCAAGCCGTCTAAGTCACGACCCTGTTTTTTGGTTTATGCCAAAGTCGTACAGCTCAACCCTGAATTATGGTATATTCCTTATTATGGGTAATGCAGGATATATATCATCAACCGTAAACCGACACGGTTCCAGAGCTAGGTTTCTGACGCGGATCGGATCCAGGGGCAGAGGTTGTGGGAGGCAATTAGAGTCTAGGGGCATACCCAGAGCCTCCAAAACCCCTTAATTAAGGAATATGCCTTACAATCATATTAGGGATCGTATTATAATTTAAGGTATATTCCTTAATTAAGGGGTTTTGGAGGCTTTGGGTAGCTTGATTGCGACATCCTTTAAAGTGTACAAGCCTGCGTGCGGGGCAAAGCCCAGACTACAGAATGGTCAAAACAGTGGGTTTACACTCTACATATAGATCTATTGCTAACTAGATAATGGAAAACGCGTATGTAAGTGATATTTGCCAGAGCTTGTCAAGCAAGGAAGCATCCGAAGCCAAGGGTTCGTGGTCGTCGCCCTAAACCCCAGACGGTCTAGTCAACATCCACAGAGGTGGGGAAAGCATGCTCGACACTGCACAGCTTTTCGATTCAGGGGAGCCTTTTTCTCGAGGTGTGTGCCGTTGCTTTTCAGCATCATCCATCCGCTCCTTGAGCTTTCAGTTCACGGAGGTGCACAGTTTAGGGCGTTTAGCGGGCTTCGGAAGCCCTAGAGCAACACTTCAGCACCCCTAAACCCAAAGCCCAACGCCGTTGAACCCAAACCCAACACCACCAAACTCTGAGGCATCAAAGGCCCGCTGTACCATCCTAGGCCCCAGGCAGCTACAGTTGGCCGCGAAACTCCTAGCTTCGGTTGGCAAGACCGCTGAACAATGAGAATCGGGCTCGGGGGCACAATACACTGTACTTGTTGAGGCGTTGTATATAGGTGGAATGTGCTACGAGTTACCAATTAGTTGCTGATGTTCACGGTTTAGGGTTTGGGGGTCATGATGACAACGAGGGTGGTGACTCACACGATGCTGCGGTACAGCAGAATCGAACTCGAAAGTTCCAACGCCGAGGACCTAATTCTGTGGACCACGGCTTCAGTGTTCTAGCGGGTTAGGCTTCGACTTTGGGTGGTAGGGTTGGGGTTTCGGGTTTAGTATTGGGGTCTCAGATGTCAGAACATTCCAGGCTTCTTGGGGGCATCGGCTAAACCGTAAGCCCTAAACGCTAAACCGCGAAACCGTGGCCTTACAGCAGTGCACTTAAAACGAAAGCGTGAGAGGGCGGATGGATGGGGGCCGTGCTGTAACTCAGGGCTCCGTGTGCACCCTTTGATGTACAGCCCTTTAAAGTTTGGGAGATAGCCTTCAAACTATCAAGAGCCTTAGAAGATGCGATGAAGGTAGGTGAGGGGGCTCCTGAATCTGAGTCTCCTTGTTTGGGGACCCTTCTTATAGTAACCCTTCTAGTAAATTCATGGTTTCCCTTGCAGAAGTCCTATTTGGTTTCCCCCAAATTCTACCTACCTTCATCCACCTGTTTCAGGCCCCTTGTCCTCGTTTCTATGAACCAAAGACCTGCTTCAGAAACCATTTGCGAGTCTGCCGCCTTTTCCAGCGAGCTCTGACAAAAAGCTCAGCTTCGCCCGACTCCCTCAAGTTGGGTTTACCCTAAGGCCCCATAGTAGTTCGTTGTTGGGATTACCTTATAGGATTCTAAATATGAACCACAAGAAGGAACTACTTTGGGGCCTTAGGGTAGTCAGAGTCTAGACCACCTTGCGGAGGACCACTTGGGTGGAGGGTTGAGGGTTCAGGGTTTAGGGCTTTAGGATTTAAGGGTTTAGGGTTTAGGGTTTACATAGGGCTTTAGGATTTAAGAGTTTCGAGTTGGGGTAAGCCAGGAATTAAAAACAGCAGAAGTTGACCATGGCATATCATGAGGTTTGGGGATAGGGTTTTGGGTTTATGTTAAGCCCTGAGCAAGTCCGGAAGAGGATCTTCATGAGGTTTGGGTGTAGGGTTTAGGGTTTTGGGTTTAGGGTTTAGGGTTTAGGGTAAGGTTGAGGGAATCATGTTGGTGAGTAAGCGCCCACCCAAGTTCATCTGGTACACCCGAGCACTCCGAGCGAGCCCTGCGCAGGTGAGCTTCGGTGTGTTGGTTAAGTGATTCACGGTAAACCAAACCCCCAAACCCAAGCCCACAAAGTACACCTGAACCTCCAAAACAGTACCCTAAACCCCAAATCCCAAACCCAAAACCATGCACCCTCATTTTTTTTAACTTCCAATCCGCTCAACGCTGCGCCTCCGAGGCCAGAACCTAAACCGGTATGCAAAAAACTTTCTCAAGCTTTTCAAACCACGATAAACGCCCGATAAGATCCTAAACAAACTAGTGTCAACCCTCTACTATAGGGGCCTGAATGATACCTATAGTCTTTTGAGGGCTCCTACTAATTATAACTATCGTATAACGGGCCCCAAAACCCCATTCTAATTATTAAGGCCCCTATATTGCAACCCCGAAGTTCTTGACTACAGCCTGCAAACCCATGTGTGGGACCCAGGATATGATTTTCCACTGGCCCACCAGGCGAAGTGGGTTTCGAGTCGTGTGGGGTGTGAGGGTTTTAGAGTTTGAGGGATTTTCAGGTTTGAGGGTGGTCAGAGGTGTTGTAGGATTTGGGGCGGTTTAGGGTTGTCAGGCTCTGATACCTTTCCTGTGAGCTCAGATGGACTGAAGTATCAGGCCAACCGAATATTTCCACAGAGCAGTGGGGTTGAAATGCCATTCGTGAACAGCGACAGGCTTTGTGGGCGATGAAAGACCTTAGGCCCTAAGCGCTAGGCCTCAAGCCTTAAAACACCAAGAACCTGAGGGTTCAGGCTCACAAGGCTAACACAAAAAAAGCAATTTTTCAACAACGTCTCTGAGCTCCTAAGAAAGCCCCAGGCCTGTAAGCCTAATGCCTAAGCCCTAAACCCGTAAGCAAGAACCCTCAGCCCTTGAGCCATCAAGCCCTACTTAGAGGCTCATGGGACTTAGTAAGTATGGTTATAAGTAGGTTATAATTAGGATAACCCCACTTAGGGGACTTATAACCCCAGTTATAACCTACTTACTAAGTCCCATGATCCTCTAAGTAAGCCCGAAACCCAAAAAAATCCAAGCTCCCGGGATGACAGGGTTCTCGTGATCTTTCGGGCTCACGCTTGAACCAACCGGCCGAGAAAGCTACGTCCATGTGGGGCCTTTACAGTTTGAAACGGGGTCTTGAAGGGATCTACTAAACGGATTCTACAATGTCGGGGCCGCATATTTGAAATAGCGTTCAGGGCTATGTCTGAATCTTTGATATAGTAGGGTTGTATTAAGGAAGCCCAGGGAATAATTCAGGCCCCTATAGTAGCCAGAGAGAGATGTCGAAACCATAGACATAGTTTCCTTCAGACGCCCCGAAGCGTATTCAGTTGGTCGGGCACTACTGGCTCCTTTGCGCCGCAGGAGTGCGTCGATTGGGCCCAGGACTGGTACCAGTGTTTTCAGGAAGTTGGTTTGGATTAGTTTCTGCAGCGTCTTTATATATTCGGCACCGCTCCCCCATCTTGGAAAGGCCCATCTAGTAGGATGAGAGCGTTCCATCACCAAGCTTCCTTTCTTGCTACGGTTGCTACTGCTTTTGTGAGACAATTTGCCACCACTACGGTTATGGCGATGTCTTCCAGCTGCTTCTACGACAGAGGTCCTTGCAAGATTGTCATGAGGTACTGTCAGCATCGACGCCTTCCAAAAATGAAGTCTTCAACCCTTTCAGTGCTGATCCTTCATCCAAAGGCCCCACAGCCATAATCCCAAGCCCATGAACCCCTTTGGGCGCCCGACGAGCGCAGGAGTCAAACGCAGAAGCCAACACCAACACGTCTTTCCCACAGTTTCAGTGCGCCTATGCAACTCATGGGCTGAGGCTCGGAATTTTAGAGCCGATTATGCTACATTCATAATAAGGAACCTCCAAAATAGTAGTAAGACCCAGATATTAGGGTTGCCCCCCTTACAGCACTTTTTTTTTGCTTTCCCGGAATCAGATGCCTTGGATCAGGATCTGCGGCACAGCGCAATCGCCACGGTCTCGTCAGGGTCACAGGACAGCAGAGATCGCTAGCTCAATTCAGGGCCCGGGGTTGGGGACAGTCGGGATTTCGGCTCTTTCCCAAGGGCACACTCTACTTGTAGCTTCTGAGCTTCGAGCCCCAAGAAGCACCAAGGTTTTTGAATCATGTTTCTAGGAGTTCGGGCTTCGGGGCTGTGAGTTCGGACAGGAAAGGACAGGCACATCTCGCACCGGTGGATTCTTGCACAATGGCCGAGGGTGTACGGTCAAAGCAGATAGATCGGGAATCAGTCAGACTTCACTTCTCCTCTCCATTCTAAGAGCCCGAAACCAGCCCTAAACCCTAAACCCTAAATCCCTAAATCCCTAAATCCCTAAATCCCTAAATCCCTAAACCCTAAACCCTAAACCCTAAACCCTAAACCCTAAATCCCTAAACCCTAAATCCCTAAATCCCTAAATCCCTAAACCCTAAACCCTACGACCTCTACAACGCTTGGAAAATGCAAGCCCGGCAGGCAACCCTCTCGAGCACTCGGTCGTGGCGCCCCCAGCTGCCTGGAGCACTGAGAACTGCAGGTCTGCAATATAGGGGGCCTTGTTAATCCGAATAGGGTTTTGGTGCGAACTATATTATGCTTATCATAAGGAGCCACCAAAATAGTATTGGCAGTTGTCAAGGCCCCTATAGTAGGGTTGAACTTGTGTTTAGGAGTCGGAGCTTTCCGGGTCTTTGGTGCTCTATCTGGTTGCCAGGATTTTTGTGTGCTTACATAAAATCTGAGACCCTCTCCAAACCAAGCCTTTCATCCCTAAGCCCTAAGCTTCGCTTCCGCAATCTTCAGCTCAGAGGGCTATCAAGAGGGGCCTAAATATAACCTATACTATTTAATTTTGGGTGCTCCTTATTGATGCTTATTAAAGGCCCCTATATGAAGCTGTCGCATTTGAGGCGCACGAGATCAAGGCCGGCTCCCGCCACCGCCCAGGCAGAGAGGAACGGTGAAATTTAGGTTCAGGCTCCATCCGTTGGGGACGTGTGTCCCAGGCCATAGGTTTGGCTTCTCCTCACTGAACACCCCAAAGCCAACAGGTTTTGGGCCTGCATCTCCCAAACCAAAGGCTAAACAATGCTTACAACAGCAGTTGCAGCACTGTCAATGTGAGGGTTGCGGTTATCAAGCCATCAACAGCACCGTCAGCTGCATCGCCTTTACCATCGCCATCACCATCACGATCGGTATGATCACCACCGGTCATCATCACCACCACCATCATCATCATCATCATCATAAAAAGCATCATCATAATTAGTCGTATCATCATCAACATAATCAGGATCATCGTCGTCGCTTTCATCATCATCATCATCATCATCATCATCATCATCATCATCGTCATCATCATCATCATCATATCCATCGGTTTCATCATCCCTACCATGATCATCATCACCATCATCGTCGCCGTCATTATCATCATCAGCATCGGCAGCATCATCATAATCATCATAATCATCATAATCATCATTGTCATCATCATCCACCAGCATGCCACAACCATCGACGCATAGCAATATCAACAGTGCATGTCGCAACAGAAGATTTGCACTTTATGAGCCTGGCAGAACAGCAGTGTTTGCAATGCGTAGGTGGCCCGATTCTGTCATCAAAACGGGGTCAGGATCTCCTGTTGACAAACGAGGCGATGCAATGCTGGACCCTGCAAGGTTTCAAACTCCATGTGCAGTAAAACCCTAAAATCGTGAACTCGCCATCAACACCAAGGCTCACTGCACGTACTTCTTTTCACGCTGCCCAGAGCCCCGAAGCACAGGCTGGATTGAAGCCCGAATGCGACAGAGCCGAATCTGTCAACTCTTAAAGCCAAAGCCCCAGGCCCTATACCCGAAACCCGGTTCACGGACCAAAAACCAAGCTGTGGGCCCCACGAAGAAAGCGATCCCTCAACCTCCATGCCTGAACTGAACATGATACCCTTTTTGTTCTGTCAAGAAATGAACGCGCTGAGTTCTTACCATTATGAGGATTCTTGCTCTCTTGCGGTCTTCCTCCTGCCCCGACATGACGACGACTGCCACTGTTGCTATTTATCTGGCACTGATGCCACTATCACTATCAGTCGCCATCACTACGGCGCAAATGTCTAAGACGGCGGCGACGAGCACGTTCGCAGCTGCAAGCATTCTCATCATGGGCTGAGCATGACTTGTACTTCTCATGCTGCTGCTGCCTCTCTAGCATTGTTGATACTGTTCCAATAATTGTCCAAACCCTAAACCCCTTAACCCCAAACCCGATACCTATACCTAAACCCCTAAACCCTAAACTAGGAGTTCTAGCTGTACCTGCAGGTGGAGAAGAGCCCATAAAAATAAAAAGAGACGATACCAACCCTACATAAAAACCCTAAACCCTAAACCCCTAAACCCTAAACCCTAAACCCTCTACTCTAAACCCCTACGCCCTGGCAGGCTCCTCGACGCCCGGAAGGTGCCCAGAGAAGCAGTGGATTTGAAGGGCTGGGCTTGGGGGGATCATGGGACTTAGTAAGGTTATAGGTACCTTAATTGGGGTTATAAGTAGTTATAAGTATAGTTACCTTAATAATAACTTTAGTTGCTAAGTCCCATGATCCTTTAAGTGGGCTTGGGGGGAGCACGGCGGGACAGGCTGCACGCGAGGGCATTCTGATGAGGGCATGATCGTGCGGCCGTGCGGGCATGACGGCCTTATGCGCAAACAGGACGGCTCAAAGAAAAATCTACCGGCAGCAAGACAAAGCAAGATCAAGGCTATGGTTCGAGCCCGCACAGCCAGACAATGCAAAATCATGGCTGCCGATGAAGCCCTCACAGCTCTTGCCCGTTGATGCCTGCATGGTCATGTCTCTTCTTCATCCTTTTTCGTAAGATCTTCTTTGTTCTCTGTACTTTCGGGCCGAAACTGTTTGGGGTCTTCGCTGGTGTAATCGTGTCTTTATCTCTGCAAAGCCAAGGGGGTCTAAACTCAGGGGATCTGATACCAAAACAGCACCCAAAAAAAACTTACAACCCTCGGCCCCACACTTCGGACACCAACCCCTCATGCCCAACAGCTCATTCGCAAGCCCCTTTGACGGGTTTGGGGTTGTAGCATGTATTGCCAGCGTTGAGGGTTCACAGAGATGCGGTGTCTTCTATGACCTTCACCAACGCTTAAAAGCTTTGTGTTACTCTCCCAAAAGAACGAAAAACAACCACAGGGTCTGGGATTCTATCTTGTTGTTTTTGTTTGGGGACGGTTGTCGCAAGCCATGGCTGGTGCTTCGTTTTCCTTCTTTGCGCTTGCGGATTTCGGTGTCGATATTCACTACTTCATCCCCTCCATGTCGAGGCATTTTCTGCAAAGTGCTCTTGCAATGAAGCATCTGGCCCAGTCTCCCGAGGTTGACATCCGCTTCGTGGCTCTGCTGGGCGACAACGCGTACCCGATGGGGGTTTCAGGAACAGACGATGTAGTGTGGCGTGGCATATTTGAGGACGTGTTTCAGTTCGGCCGTGGGCTCAAATGGTATGCAGTTCTCGGGAACCATGACTACTGGAACGTTGCTTCTGCCCAGGTGGCGTACACATACCGGCATGGCTATCTATCCGAAGAAGCGGGCAGGTGGTACATGCCAGCGCATTGGTACAGCGAGGTCGTGGAACACAAAGGCATCAGCATTTGCATGCTTGCACTAGACACGGAGCAAGCAAACGGTATGTCACACCACAGTGAGGAGGGCAATGACATCTTCCCATATTTCCGTAAGCAGCGAGCTTGGTTCGAAAGGGAGGTTTCCAAGCCGGTGTGTCAACAGGCCCACTGGATTGTCGTCCTAGGACATCACTGTGTCATATCAGCAGGCCCGCGTGGTTCCATACCACACATGCAGCCCTTCCTCGACGTAATGGTAACCTGGCATGTTGACCTGTTCCTCTGTGGCCATGACCATGTTTCGCAGCATGCGCAGCACATGGGCATCCATGTCCTTGCCGCTGGTGCCGTGTCTCTAAGCGGGGCCCGAGGAGACGTTGACGATCCCAGAGTGGATTTCTTTCATGAGCAATCGCCTGTCTTTGCGATGTTTACAGTATCACATGAGGCGATCCAAGGTGGTTTCAGGTCAGGCAGCAATGCCTCATGGTTACCAAACAGCATTTTGAGATCGTGTTTATTTTTTTGTGGATATAATCATAACAGACCATATTAACATAGTAACTTATCCTAAGTTATTGAACTCCCAAACCCTAAGCAGTCATTTCCAAGAACCGTTAAGGCTCTTTCGCTACAAGCAAGGGTCAGGTCAGCGGGAGGCTCGGCTTCGAACTGTCAATACCTCGCTTTGGTGATGCTCCGCAGAAAATGGCTTGCAGACGTATGTTCAATGGGTGTGGTTTAGACTTTCGGATCTTATTTTGCAGTTTTAGGCAGGGGGTGGAACTGTGGCTACGATTAGACAGTTGTAGTGCTCCTGGACAGTCTGGTTTAGCTAAGGTTTGGCATTAAAAGCTCTTTATCTCCCACCAGTCGGCTTTTTGGGGTTTCAGTGGTTGGGGTTTACAGACAACTACGGTTTGTGGAGAGGGCTCTTGCAACTTGTGATAATGGTACAGGACATTGGTCCCTCTTTCTGGCGACAAAATGAATCTTGCTCCAAGCAATCCGATACCGAATGCTGTCTTGTGTGCTCATGTTCACTGAGACACGGCGCTCTCCCATTGAGCCTTCAGTAGATATCCTAAGGCCTCTTTTACGGCCCTTCTACCTCTCAGAACCCATCGAACCCTAACGAAGCAACATCGAACTACAAGCAGGCCTTGAATTCGCTGCGCATCCTCTATAGTCCCCTTCGGAATTACTTTTTGTTCATATATCACCCAAGAGATTATGAAAAATATGATTCTTGTTATTGTGCTAAGGGGGGGTGTTTGGCTGAAATCTGCAGAGTCATTCAGACCCGGGCAAGCGGGCAAGGGGGGTACTCCTGGAGCTTTTGGGTGTAGGGGTTTAGGGTGTTTGGGTTTGGGGGTTTTGGGGTTTAGGTTTCGGGGCTTAGGGTTTAGGGGTTTCCGGTTTAGGGGTTAGGGGTTTAGGGGTTTAGGGTTTTCGGGGTTTAGGGGTTTAGGGTTTAGGGGTTTAGGGGTTTAGGGGTTAAGTTTAGGGGAAAGAGACAGCAGCAGGCTTGGACTTTGAAATGACAGACACACCCTGAACCCTAAACCCTTCTAAACCCTAAGCCCTAAACGCTTCTAAACCCTAAACCCTTGTGTATAAACCCTAAACCGTAAACCCTTCAACCCCAAACCCTAAACCCTAAACCTTAGCGGCTGTGCACGTCGTGGCCAGCGCCAAGCATCATCACCATAGTCCTCGCGATCCTGCCGCCCTCCTCAACCCTATATGGATCGGAATGATTAGTCATGGTACCCATTTCGTCCATCCATATATACATAACTATGTATGTATGTATGTATGTATGTATGTATGTATGTATGTATGTATGTATGTATATATATATACAGAAAGGGAAACCAGGTAGGCCCCCGCATTCGTGTTTCAAGTGTCATAAAGCCTGTCTTGTCTACTCTCATCCTTGCATACCTGCCGGTATGATTACAGAAACACTGTTTTAAAACATCCGCTTTGTTTTAAAGCAGTCCTGTCTTCCTGCCGGACATACGACCATCGAGGCACAATAGTAATCTCCACAAACCAAAAGAACCAAAAGAACTAAAAAAACTAAAAAAACCAAAAAAACCAAAAAAAACCAAACAAACCAAAAAAACCAAAAACCAAAAAAACCAAAAATCTGGGGGACTAGTCTCCTGGAGAATTGTTTTTTTTGGTTTTTGGTTTTTTTGTTTTTTTTGGTTTTTTTGGTTTTTTTGGTTTCTGCTGCAGGTACCGCGCTCAGTGTTGCCAGTGCCGCCTTACTCCTTGGCCGCACATATTCCGGGTTACTTTTCTTTGTCTGTGCGTGTGAAAGCCAACACATGCAGCGTGAAACACACTGTATCGTACTCTATGTGTGTATGCGTGCCTGGTACACTCCCAGAAATCGGTTGGACACCACGCCGTGCTGTCGAGTAAGCTCGCACTGGTACACGGCTGTACAAATGTATTCCTGCATAACGCTGGAACGTTGGAAAGAGAAAAAAGGCTTCTGGTGCCGATGATGCCTGCCTGCAGCCTGCGACCCTGGTGCTCATGATGTTTGACTGTGATCCGTCATTTCCATGTCAAACTCGCCGTATTGAATTGCTCGCAAAGTTGCTTTCTCGAAGTCTGCAGTTCTCGTGTAGTTAGCTTTCCCTCTAGTCCTCGCCATGGCCGGTGAAGATCTTTCTTTCGACGATCTCCAGAAGACCGTTGAACCATTGGTGTGTAAGAATCTGACTACACCTGCCATCCTGAAGTTGCCCCTCGGCTTGTTCACCCCGGCTGCACTACCGTTGCAGGAAATGTCGTCCACGGACAACCCTAGCGTCAACCTCTTTGACATCATCACAGACTACCGGGGGACTATTGATGTCAACGATCTGACGAAGGCATACAAAACCGCTGTCTTGAACTCCGATTTGTCTTCGCTACCGGAGCCCTTTGGGTTTCGCGGTATTCTTGCTCGCAACACCAAGCTTCAGTTGTTCGTGTGCGAGTGTCCAGATGGCTCCAACATTATCGTCAAGCATTTCACGTGTCCGGACAAGTGCAAGCCCTCTGTCTTCTTGGCAGGAGCAAGTGGCAAGGCTTACATCTACCGTTGGCGAGCCACCCATGCCAAGGTCGGAAAGAAAATCCTTCAGTATACTTTGGAAAGCCTTGGCGGTCAGCAGTTCAAAATGTTCGAGATGCAATCCTTCTGCGCCCCCAAAGCCTCCACCAACAGATTCGAGGATAAGACGGATGAAGAAATCGATGCCGGTTTCGACTTCATTGTCCATGATGCACCGCGCTCCTCTTCAGAAATGCAGCAGCTTCGGTGGATGACAAAAACCGTCAAAAATCCACAATCGCCTATCTTCAACTGGCCCGGTGCACTTGTTGAGAAGGCGCTCCGGAACCTGAGCCAAGATGGCTCACTCGCCAAGAAGGAGATGGACTGGCCCATCCCCCTTACGTCCACCTATTACCATGGATGGGTCTTGGAGCTTCTGGAGAAGGTGTGGGATTTCGACACGTCCGCCCTCGTGATGTTGGGTGAGGCGGGTGCGGGCAAGTCACCACTGGGTCGCAGCATCTTGATGGCACAGGCCCGGTTTAACAAGGCGCACTTTGGTGCCCGCACCACCGTGTGCATTCGCTGTACGCCTGAAATTGATTTTCTCAGAGGAGAGCAAGGTAATATCACAATGGGTGACTTTCTGGATGACACATGTCTCAGCATCCTCTCTTCCAAAATGCTGAAGTCTCTGTTGGACGTGGGGCTCTACGAGGCCATGGCATGGGCTCGTTGGGGAGCTGTCAAGTGGGTACAGAATCAGCCACGAGCGGTGGCCGACAATACCTACGAGCCCATGGAACTTCCCGACGAATTCGATTTCGTCTCATCCATCTCTTTCGACAAGTTCGCGAAGTGTATCCGTCCAGCCTTCAATTCCGAAGTTTCGAAGGCACATATGGACGCTATCTTCAAGCGCACTGTCTTCCTGGTGAACAGTCCCACACATGTCTACTTCCGCAAGGCCGGCATCAACGAGGATCCTGTCCCCCGTGTAAACATAGAGCGCCCTGAATATCTCACCGAAAAGGGGCGCACCCTCTACGGCACCTTCAAGGACGGCACCCGGGCCTTCCCCCCCGACCATGCCGCACAGGTTCGTCGTGAACAAGACTGGGTGACCAAGGTTATGGAGAAGCGCTTCGATGAGAGGCGTCCCGACTACAAAGCTCGACAGGCCATCCGTCGTGGTCTCTGGGGTCCAGAACCTGCATCATCCCGCTCCCGGCCCATCTATCGTCAGGTTGATGATCTTCACAAGTCATCTACAAGGGATGCGGTCGCCGCTGCCCCCATCATCAAACGCGAGCGGGTGGAGCAAGAGGAAGCCAGCAAGAAGGCAAAGATTTGGGCCTTGGAGTTGAAAGCTTCCAACAGCGCCATCGATCTCGACTCCCCCGACCGCACGAAGGCAGCTCTCCCGTCTACCGCCGTGCCCAACCCCGAGAACATGATCAGTGACGACATGGATGTTGTCACTGAGGATGAGGCGGATGTCCTGGGCAATGGCTTCGACCTCGGTGAGCACGACAACTGAGCTTTGCTGAGGTATCGCGTAGTTTTGTCACTGCCGTCATGCTATGCCCTGGCCCTCTCTTCAAAAGAAGACCCTCTAGAATAAATCGGTAATGCTCATGATGGCAAAACATTGCTCCGTAGCCGCGTAGTCGCACATGATGGGGGCCCGACAAATTTTGGTAGACCGCATCCTCAGTCAGACCCTGCTTCCTGCGTGCGTGCACATAGGGCAAAAGGACGTCCTTGTCTGCATGTCTGCTGTCTCGCTCGTGCCTGGCCTCATCAAATGTTGCATATACAGCCGTGTCCAAACATCGCGTGTTGTAGTCGAACTAGCCGCCCGCTGTACTTCTTGCTTCAGCCATGGTGAAGGTCGCACGTGCTTTTCCTCGCCGCACGTGTCCTAGTTGCTCTGGGTCACTCGTCAAGACCATCACGGGCCCTCGCGACGTCAGCAAGGGCGTCCTCATCGGGAGTGAATCTTTATCCAAGACGAGCACTCGTGTCAGTCGTTGTGTCCGAAAGGGCTGTCGGGTTTACGTTCGTCACAACTACATGCGGATCGCCGGAGAAAAGATCAACGTTCTCTCCTTCAATCAAATGAAAGCAGCTGGTGTGTATTTCGTGACCACCAAGACAGCATTCACCATGTCCTACCTCGAACTTTGCTATCTTCGTCTTCTTCGCGCGAAAACATCCCCAGGACAGGAGGCTGCGGTCCGAGTTCTTCTTCATCAAGGACATGACGATCTTCCAGATCATCGAACCTTCCGTGATTGCCTTTTGCGTGCTCTCGAGGCTTATGCTGTGGCGAAGCGAACACCTGACCAGGTTGTCTCCTTCAACGTCGACTATCCGGCCAAGGAGGTAGTCCGACTTAGCCGCAGTCAGCCTTTGCTTTTCCATCCCATGAACGGCGTGCGAGAGGTGGCCATGGATGGGAATTTCGGCTTGCATCGTCATCTTCTTCCAGGTGTCGACCCTCCCCGGACCAAGCAATTGCCAGGACGACCACGGAAAGCTCTTCGTGAGGATGAGCGATCGTGTAGCTGTGCCAGAAAGGATTCTCTCCACTTGGCACTGCCACAGCGGACTGCGGGATGGCAGTTCGCA